ATATATATATATATATATATATATATATATATATATATATATATATATATATTTCAGCTAACACTTAGGCTAATTATATAACTAGCTTATTAGACATAGCCTTGGATTTTGACTCAAATATCACAAAACTGCTCACTCAAAGAAAGAAGAGGATTGCATTATTCATGATTTCTTTTCAAATTAGTCCCATAAAAATACATCTAAGTGTGTGTATGTGTTTATAATTTGTATTGTTCCACATGTTTTATTCTTGTGTGTGTGTTTCTATGTAAAATGTATATTGATGCTTTTTGTTTTCACATGTAGAATAGTTATGGAAGTTTTATATATGTAATTAACAACACTATACATGCACTACATCTTTCACATGTATAAAACAACGTATGAAAATTGATATTTTGTAAGTTTTTAACAATGGTTTTTATTTGATATGTCATATGTGTGTGTGTTTTTTTTATTTATTTTGACTTGGTTGTTGATTTAAAACACAAATTTACATAGGGGTTGAGTGGAAGGAATGGGTCAAATAAGCAGGGGAAGATATGTTTTCGTGTTGGTGGTTATATTGGTCATGGGCCTTGGTGTTGTGATGGGAGTAGCCCCGAAGAAGCCAGTAGCAGTGCCGTTTGGGAAGAACTATATGCCTACCTGGGCATTCGACCACATTAAGTACTTCAAGGGTGGTTCACATATTCAGTTGTCACTGGACAAATACAGTGGGACTGGTTTCCAATCCAAGGGTTCTTACCTTTTCGGCCACTTCAGTATGCAAATTAAAATGGTTCCAGGAGATTCTGCCGGCACCGTCACTGCTTTTTATGTATGTGTATATATAACTATTAATTATTTTTTAGTTCGAAAAAGTTATACATATTGTAATTATTTGGAGGATCACATGCAGTTGTCGTCTCAAAACTCGGAACATGATGAGATAGATTTTGAGTTCTTAGGGAACAGGACAGGGCAACCATACATCCTACAAACAAATGTATTCACGGGGGGTAAGGGTAATAGGGAGCAACGTATCTATCTATGGTTTGATCCTACCAAAGCTTACCACTCATACTCCGTTTTGTGGAATCTCTACCAGATAGTGTAAGTACAATTTGGATGCAACCCCGACTCCTAATTTTATTTTAGTTTGTCTTTGTTTTGACAAATTTGCCAACATGGTTGGTTCTAGTTATCATCTGTTGACAAAGGGTGTTACAGAATTTGGTAATCATTTTAATTACATCATAAAAACATTGTTTTGAAAAGAAAATGCAGCTCTATTTAACATGTCTGTAAATGGATTTGGATCAAAATGGTTGCACATTTTATTTGTTTCAAAATAAATATATTAGTCTTTTAGTCAGGTTAATTAATTTAACAATTTTAGGTGAGATTTCAATTCAAAACTAATGTATCAATTTATTGGTATTACTATTTTATGTAACTTTATGATGAATATGTATATATCGCAGCTTCTTTGTAGATGATGTTCCTATCAGAGTGTTCAAAAATAGCAAAGACTTGGGGGTCAAATTCCCTTTCAATCAACCCATGAAGATATATTCAAGCCTATGGAATGCAGATGACTGGGCAACCAGGGGTGGATTGGAGAAGACTGATTGGTCCAAGGCACCCTTTGTGGCTGCCTACAAGAACTTCCATATTGATGGTTGTCAATCCTCCGTGAATGCCAAGTCTTGTGCAACCCAAGGCAAACACTGGTGGGACCAAAAGCAATTTCAAGATCTTGATTCTTACCAATGGCGTCGTCTTCGATGGATTCGTAGAAAATTCACCATCTATAACTATTGTACTGATCGTAAACGGTTTTCCATCATGCCCCGTGAATGCAAAAGAGACCGTGACATCTAACCAATAACCATATTTACCTTTATATGATATTATTTGTCGTTCTATATGTATTCCTGAAACTAAAAATCTTCCATGTATTATATATGTTATAAATCAAGTCCTCAACCATGGACACGATAAAACTTTACTTTGTATAATGTTAAAAGATGTTCATATACTATTTTCATACTTATACATATATCTATATATACAGGGGAACGTTCAAATAAAAACCACTCAATTTGTAAAAAACCGTGAAAACCTCATTCAACCGATCATAATTTTTCATTTTGTTCATTTTTTTGTAATTATAAGAGGTTGATTAATCATTTTTATTGTGGAGGATGTTAATCATGGATATTATCATCTTCATTATTTTAATTTTAGAGAAA